GACTATATAGCTACAACTGCCCAACTTCTAGGGCCCAGAAAGGTTTGTGTGTTTTTTTTTTTTCTGTCTTCTTGGATCTTTTTATTCTAAAATATAACTAGCAACAAATAAAACCTAACTATTCATTTAAAAAAAAAAAATCTAACTATTCATTGAAAAGTTAATACAGGGGAAGACTCCCTACTTGGCTTGAAAACCAAGAGTTGAGCTCAGATGAAGTTGGTAGGGACATTTCTACAACTGGATTTAAAAGACAATTATTCCTTTAAACTTTCTTGGCAACTGCCAATTTTTCCCATCTCTGTGCATAAATTATATATGCCTATTTTCTTCAAGTTTAGTAAAACATTTTTAAAAGCATACTTATCAATTGTCTGCCCATTTCACACATTCAGAAAGCACCCCCACACATGCAAATAAAACACAGAACATCCCCTCTGCCTTATTTTGCATAGTCACCAGTCACCAGAACAATGCACACATGGGAAGTCATTTCCAATTACTTAGGTCACATGTGCACATATTGTATGCAAATATATGTCATTATCGTATGCAGTAAATTGTTGCCTACTGGTCTGGAAGTCCAAAATAATATTTTCTCCCAAAGGAAGGTCCAACTGACCCTCAAGTAAATTAGCACAAAGAATTTAAGCAAACTTTAGTATCTAAACACAGTTAGAAGCTCTCTTAATTTGCATTATTTTATTCCATCACCACACACTGGAGCACTGCATGTCCTTTGTATTTATATTATGATGCTAACAGAGATATTGTTCAAACCCTTAATAAACATTTCAGATATAAGGATAAAGAACTAGTCACTACACTCAAGGGGACTCATACTCTGAGTAGGAAAACAGCCTCCAATGAAAACCACAAGAAGTGCAGTGCTAGCAGGACACATACAAAGAACGTATCATGATAACATGGGAGAACTCAGCCTGGGAAGAGAAGTGGAATGCAGGTACATGTCCTAAACAAACTAGCAACAAGCTAGTTAGCAACAAGCTAACTCTTAAAGAATAATTCTGTGGACAAGATGGAGCAAATGTACAAGCTTTTGAGATCCTAGTTCACTGGCTAAATAGAATTTGGATAATTAGTAACCACCTACTCTAGACTCAATATCCTTTAGATTAATATCAAGACAAAAGTAATTGTAGGATACAGTGCTCCCCTAAATGACAACTTACAATCTATTTAGGGAAGTAAAGTGTACACCCAAAGCAAATCCTTAATAGTACACGGTAAAGTATAGATTGCAATGCACAGACAATTCATCCATTTATTCATTCAACAAATATTTACTGTCTACCTGCAAAGGACTATATACTGCTTTAGGCCCTGGAGGTATGACAGTAGGCAAGCACACAAAGTCTCATGGACATCACATTCTAGTGGATATTAATATGGGTTAATATCAGTAACACAGGTTTTAAAAAGATGATCATAATTCTCTGAAATAAAAAATGTAAGGAGAGGATGTTATTAGCCAAAAATTGCTGTCAATAGAAATATTTAGCCAAGTGTTCCAATAAAACTTTCTCATTTATTAAAATATTTTGGATGGCAATTCATAGCTACATTTTCTACCAATAACCATTAAATCATCAATTTTATCTAGAGTAAAATATTTACAGTAGCTAGACCTTGTTCTCTGTTATAAGGCATGTTTTTTACTCAATTTATACTTTCCACAACAAAAAAAGACATCATTTGGCAAAGGCAAAAGACATATACATAAACATATTTGTGAACCTTTGGGATACAGGAGAAAGAAAACAATAATTCAAGAAGCACAGGATACAATGACATCAAACATTAAATATTTCTCTGTCAAAGAAAGGTAGAAAGGAATCAGATGAAAGTGGAAAATACTCAAAGGCCATTTGTACTTATTGTTACTATCTATCCCAAGATCTGGCCATCTAGGGTACTGGGTATGGTTTGCTAATAATTCTGAAAAAAAATATACAATGGAAGAGAGTTGATTCTAGACACACAGCCAAATGTTTTACCGGATGAAATGGTGATTTTTGAGCATATGATTTATATTGCTCTACCCATCTGACAAGTGAGAATAATGCTAGCAACCTAACTCACGGTGGTATTAATTGACAGGTTACTATGTAAAACTGATCTCCTTGAATGACATCCATCATATCAAGAGACAAGTGCCATAACAGTTCTAACACTTACGGTGACTGACACACATCATTTGCCCCTTCGCATACCTTACTTCTCATCTTGTTCAGAAGATGAGTCCAGAAAAGTTGAGCAATGAGATGTGCGAGTGTAAGTAACGGCTAATGTCTTCTGAAGAATATTTGTAAAAGAATCCAGTTTACCAAATTTCATGGAAGGTAACAGATTAACATAAATTATCATCCATCTGCATCTAGCATTTGGAACACATATCCTACATCAAAAACTTTCCTGGCAGTGATGCCATGAGCTGCATAATAATCACCATGCTTTGATTAATCATTTTGCTGAATGTATGATTTAATTGCATTTACACTGATAACCTAAGTTTCTGCAGTGCATTGCTTTTTATCCTAACTCATCTATTCGAAATCAAAATAGAAGTAGTACAACTTGCAGTATTAAGCATACTAAATAGTTACACTAAAAAGATTTCCATTTGAATTATCAAAATAAATACATTACAAGAAATTTAGAATCTGAAGTAAAAAAAATCCTCTAATTAAGGGAAACTTGAGAGAGCTTTTTAACAAGTTCTTTGCTGAAAGAATTTATTTGGTTTCTTGATCCTCCTACCAATCGCATTAACAATGACAAAAGATATGCAAATTTAAACAGACAATAGTCAAGCCAAAGGCTCTGACTCACACCAACAGGGACATTTTCAGCATATAATTAGCTCGATTCAGGTTAGCAAGGGTCAATGTAACCAAAGAATATTTGCATAGTTATGCTTGGCCATAATCTGAAAACTATGCCATAATCATTGACAAAGAACAATGCAAACAAAAATCAAATTTATTTCACACAATAAATTAACATATGAAACATGTGCATGACATAAGCCCAATAGAATCATGTATTTACCCTATTGCTGTTGACTCATTGCATAGCAAGAAAAAATATGCATTACTACGTCTGAATCACTATTTTGACTCTACATTTCACATAAACAAAATATTACATTTTTGGTAGAATAGCATGAATGGGACAATTTGGGACAAAATTTCCCTCCCAGCCTCTTCAAAATATCCAGACTCATTATAATGACTGAATTCTCGTTATAAAACTATATAGGTGGTATAGTGAGAATAGTAGTAAGCAATTTAACCAAACTGATTTACTATTAAAATATATTTTGACAAAGAAAAAAGATATCCTGTTACAAACTACTGCTATAATCAGTGCTTGAAATTTAAACTACAATTATCAAAAGACTGCAAATTTGGTTTGATTTCTATTCTTCTGCCACTGTTGATCTTTTTCACCTGTAGTCTACAACAGAAAGATTAACTACAATTCTAGGTTTGGAAACTCTGAAACTACTGAGTTTCAGTTAACTTGTCAAATAAAGTATCAGTGATCTTAGTTCAGTCCCTAGTGGACAAAAGTAGAATAACTATTACTTGCAAGATTCAGCAGGCAGTGCTCTAAGCGAGAGTGACAACTCAGAGGGGGAAAACAGAGCATTTGTCTTTTCCCTATCTTCTTAAAGTGTTCGCTCTGTTAAAAGACTAATTTAAAGACGACTGGACTGGCTATGTTCCTGGACTGGCTATGTTCCTACCTATATGCACCAAATGAATTTTTAGCAAAGAATCTCCAGGAGAGACGAATTTTTACAAAAGTGACATTGCCACCCTTCTAACTAACAAAGTTGAATACACTTGTTATCTGCTGTTTACCTGTTAATTAAACAGAGAGCAAAGGAAGAAGGAGCAGCAGAAAGTATGTTCATATTTTAAATGACATATTTTCAACAAAAGCTTAAATGGCTTATAGAGAAAAATAGAATAAAATGTGCATTTTGATTTTTATAAATTGGAATTAACTGCATATTCAACATTAACATTCATCTGGTTACTAAAATGTCCTGAGAAAAGAGGTATTTCAAGACTATAGCAAAGCCTACACATGCTCAGCTCCAATCTGCAGGTGCACCCTCTGAAAACACTGACCACCAGCTCAATCTTCCTTTCCCACTGGGCAAACAACCTCTTCCTGAGGAGTTCACATTAAAATTTATCTTCAGGATTTTTTTTCACAGGGATGAAAAAACTATATGAAATAAATCTGTGCTCTAATATTCTACTACTTGCTAAAATTAAGTTGCCTTTATATACGTACACAATTTCTCCAACCAAATATCATACCTTATCCTTACTCTCATTTCATATTCACTTTACTAGAGTTGAAAAAAAAAATAAGTATTTGGTGATTATTCCTGAAACTGATTTGATTCTAAATTAGTATGGTCATTATTGTTTTCTTTTTTCACCAACTTTCTCAAGACACACAGGCTTTTTTTTCCCCCAAGTTGGGCTTTGACAGTCAGAAAAATCAAGCTAAATTTTAAATAAGAGGAACCAGAAATGTCATAAAATGTGCCAGTGGTAGGCACATAAATGGGTTGCTACCGGACCTTCATAGGCTTGCACAACAAGTCTGAAAACCTTGGCTCACCCATGAAGTCACAGAGAGCCTGCCGGCTTGCATTTGCAAACACTGCTTCCCTCCCCCACCCATCCCTGAGCAAAAGGTAAACACGCAAATGCCCCCTAAGGAACTCTAAGTTAGCTGCAGTGCAGAACGAAAAAGGCTCTGTGCAATTAGAAACTGAAAGCAATCACTTACTTTTTGCAGCCACTGAGTATAATTTTCCATCACATGCTCCAGATGTTGAAGTTTCTGGGAAGAGAAATCCGGTTCCACGTGTGGAGCATCTCTCTGCAGAGCATTTGTGCTGTACTGGTCTGTCGTACTCTCACGGCAGTTCCCGTCGTGTTCTGGAAGAATGAAAGTGTAGGCACACTGCCCATGTTGAATCCGGTTATATCTTCTCCCACCGTTTTCTGGACTTCGGCGCTGGTTGCTGCACCCTATGTGAGTCAGAATGGCAGCAAGGAAAGCAAAGGAAAGGAAAACTGTCATTGTACAGCCAGCTCTCTCCTTCTGTGCTTCTCGCAAAACTTGCTCCTTTCTTCTGACCTTTAAACTAGTCTTTATTTTAGGTAAAACTGCTTGTTTGTTTGACTTTATCCCCCTCAGAGAAAACTTTTGAAGAAGAATCACAGAAAACTAGCCATTTGTTAGCGTTGTTCTAAAACGTTATTTTTTTTTATTTCACCGTAATGGTAGTTTCCTTGAGATATTTATTGCATAGTAGCTGAGATTTATTGTTTCCTTTCTGTGTGACCGTTCAGCGTGGAGCCTGCCTGAGTCAGCTGCGTGTACATATTCTAGACCCTTTCCCCTACCCTATCTGCAGCAGATCTGCTATTTTCTCCCAGACCTCAGTGAGTTTTATTAAGGTTGCACATCCAAGCCAAGCTGGAAGCAGGCAGCCTTTCACAAGATGACTTGACAGGAATGCATGAGTGTGCCCCTATGCTAAGGATTGCTGATGGCTTGGAGGAGCGGATCGTCTTACAAATTGGCTAGATGCGCATGACCTCGATCATGTATGGCCCTCCCGCCCCCTTCCGCAGACAATTGCCTCCAGCCTTTAGAAGATCCTCGGCAAATCAATAAATAGAGCGGTCCACCTTAATACACTTTTGCTGTGCATGCTGACCTACTAAAACTAGCACTAGGTTTTTAAAGTTAGTATGTAATTAGGGAACTCTAAGAAGAAAAATTAGCAAAATGTCCAGTAAAATAACTTTTGATGATGATAAATCTGTATAAATATTAATTTTAAAAAACTATCCTTGACTCTGGGAAAGATATCTAAACACATTCTTAGAGATGGTGTTCTCTCATTGTATTCACTCAGACTTTTAGGAATTGGAGAAAATTATCAGGGAGGGTCATATCAGCAAAACAATTTTTCATAACTTGTCACTCAAAGAAATATAGATAGCATGTACATATTAAACAAATTAATCTAAGTATTTAGATTTCTTAGATAAGGATTTTAAGTGAAACTATTCCCCTGATCAGAATGCAGCCCTGTATGCTCTGTGTATATAAATTGAGCAACTTTCTTACAAAAACAGTGTGGTTACAGCTTAAGACTACAGCCAGAGAATTATTAATTCCTGTGGTACGTCCCAAGCATAGATTTCACAAGGACCTCCTTGGTGTTGCTATGGCTATCTTTACCACTGGTATAGAAGTCCCCATAAGGTCTCCTGTGACTACACAGAAAAACTATCAAAGAATAAACATATATCAGGTGTGTCAGTGGGCCAGCAAAGGGCTGTCTAGGAGAAATCCCTGTTTCTATTAAGAAACAAAAATTATCAGAAGGCAATTTCCCAAATGTAGGGTGTAAACATTTGAACAAAACGATCAGTAAAACATAAAGAATAGGGTATAATTATAGAATTAAGATTATGGCACTGAGATCTTTACTAAGTATGTGCAGAAAACATGAATTATGAGCAGGGGCTTTCATCAAGAACTGGGAGGGATTTTCAGGAATGGAGCCTCTTAACTGCTGTCATCGTATAAAAACAGAAGCCACAGATGTTGACTGTTGTGTCCTCAAGGTACAGTTCAGTGGGTAAAGGGCAATGAGATTAGAGATTGGTGTGTAGGGAAAAGTTAGAGGAGAGGGCAAAACAAATCGCAGGGGAAAAAATGTGATTTACTTCGGAGAAAAATATTATGTTGAGATTTATCAGTCTTTCTCATAGCAAATAACAAATTTCTGATCTGATAGAAATGGAAGCAAATAATACCAAATACAGCAATAAAGCCCTTGAGGTGCCTTCTCAGCTTCCTCCTGATGTTGCAGGTCTCCTTGTTGTCTGATATGTCACTCATGTGCAGTAATAATAATGACATTCATTAAGAGCTTAATATTTCCCAGGTTGGTGTTAAGCACTCCTTACATACAATCTCATTTAATTATCCCAATGAACCTGAAACTTGGGTATTATGTTTAATCCCACTTTATTGATGAGAAAACTGAGTCACAGAAAAGCTAATTGGTCACAACTCACATAGCTAGTTAGGGATGGTGCCAGTATGTCAAGTCTGGCCAACTGATTCCAAGCCTATCGTTCTAACCTCCAAGCCAGCCAAAAGGCTTCCAAAGGGCTCCAGCTGCACTGATTCACAGCTCTAAATCAGACTAAGCGATGGTACCGAGAAGTAAAACAACTGGTTAAAAAACAGTTTATAGCACCAAAGTGATTTAATCAGTCTTCTGTACCCAAAAAAAGCAAACAGAAGTGACGGGTAACCTGTGCAGTAGACTTTTTAAGGGCCCACAAAGACAAAGTAAGGCAAAGCACAGATAGTCTAAAACCATTTTCCAACATTGCCTGCTTTGAAAATTATTCCTGGAAAAAATAGAGTCCAAAACCAACACCTTAAGTGATTCACTAAGAACTAAATACAGCTGAAAATCAGCACAAGATACAAGAGTGAGTAGTGAGGTTTCTATTAAAGTGTTCCTGTGTTTTTTAACAGCCAAGACTTAAAAATCTGTTTTTCCATGTGGTGTGTATGTGTATAAGTTTTTGTGAATCTACACATGCTTGTTCATATAAACTTTTCCAATCTGAACAAATGTAATGAAGGAATGCACAATTTCCTGAGGGAAAAATAGACAACCAGGAAAGGGAAGCTTGAAACTTAAAAAGGGGAGGAGACGGAGAGACAGTAAGAGAAATTGAGGTTTTTCTTTTCCAGAAACAAACAAACAAACAAAAAACACATGACACTGAAAGTACCAATGTCAATCTGGTGGGGGAAATGTCTCAAGGCAGATTTTATTCAGCTGGAAAACAGAATGACATGTACAATGTTTCAGGACTTCAGCTGGGGAGACACTGGGTGCATTTGAGGATCGTCATGAGATTCTAAGGACAATATCCTTCCGAGGACCTGAACCTAACCAACAGCAATACTGTGGGTTGCTGTTGCTGACTATTTAGTCATTTAGGAGCCTTCAGAATTCAAGAAGTAATATAAAAAAAAAAAAAAAAGCCATGTTAAAAAAAAATTATCTGCCACACCTCCAAAAAGATTTTTTAAAATGTTCTAAAGAACTAAATAATTGTATTCAATTGGATACTGAGGTAGCTTGATCTTGAAAGCTTTGTATCCTCGTTTTTTATCTTCATTATTAGAGCTCTGGAATAAGGAGGTTTATGCTTTAAATTTCTGATCTCTTATCTCTAATAGTCCTAGTAAACATTAGCCTCATCCAGAAATTTCCAGTGGGACAGGGAACGCCATTTATATGGAAACTTTATGTCCCTAAATCTGTCCTAACACTGTTACTTCTTTTGTGAAGTGTTCTTAATTTCTCCAGGCTCTGTAAGTGATTCTTTCTGATGTATTTCAATAACCTTCTTTTCATATCTCCATAATGGTACTTTTCACACTGCTTTCTAATTATTTCTTTTTTGGCTTATCCCCCCTCTAGCTGTGAGCCCATAAAGTAATCTCCTCTTTCATCACTGATTTCCCAGCACTTACTGTGCACTCCGATTGAAGGAATGAAAGAACAAATAAATGAATAGATGAGCTAATTCAATTACTTAGTATCTGACTGCTATATAACTGGGTACATCTGTTGCATTTTGGGGGGTGAGTTTTGCCTAGAATTGGGATGGAGCCAAACATTCTAAAGAAAGAGTTAGATATAACATGGTACAATTAATAATGCATAACATTTTTTAATCCATAACAAATTAATTTCCTCATTTAACAATTACAGCACCCTCATAATTATGTATTATTATTTCCATCTTACAGATGAGAAAGGTTGTGGCACATAGAGGTTAATTACCCAAGATCTTTGATCACTTATGTGGCAGAGCAAGAATCTGATCCTCAATCCATATATCTAGGGCCCACATTCATATCCCACTGAGCTATAATGCCTCCAACAATACCTCAGTATTAGGAAACAGAGAGAAAGCATTTATTAAATTTAGGGGACAGGAACAGCACAGCATTTATAGCTAAGATGAGTCTCCTCCTCCTCTTAACCATGGCCTTCATGGACTCATGTTATGATCTTCCAAAACAGAGTTAATGCTAAGCAAAGATGCACCAGTATGGTTGTCCCATCCACTAACAAACATCCAATCTGATTGTTCAGATTATACTTAGGATCAATTATGAATGGTTTGACCTGTGCCATATCGCTTGTTATAAATATTACCCTAAAATAACATTAAACAATACAAAATAGAGTTTATTCCTCAAAAACACCATCAGGCACCTCTTTAGCTTTTATATAGATCCCTATGATGACAAAAGGGGTGAGAAAGCATTCTCCTCACTTGTATACTGAACACCATGTTATTCAGCACATATTCTATGGATATATTCTTGAAATGTATCCTATATTTGAAGGGCAATATATTTTATGGCTCTGCTCTGGCACTTTCAGGGTTCAAGAATATCAGCATGGCTATGGCAGTGGCAGCTAGTCTAAAAGGAAGCACTTGGCTGTAATCCCTGGAGGCAGAGCCAAGCCCCTTCACTCAACTATGTAGGCATCAAAGGTATCCACAACAGATGGAAATACCACAGAGGGCTAAAACAGAAAAACAAGAAGATGGAGGATATCACCTGGTGACTGATGGCACTTCATGAGTACATGTGAAATATCCATTGGTAAGTCTCAAACAAATTGAAAAGACTACAAAAAGATGGAAACACTGCAGTGGATGGGGTGAGGAAGACACTGCAGTAGGTGGAGAAATACAGGTAGATGAAGAACATAAAAAGTATTATGTAAATATTTCCCTGCCTTCTGATGAGAGAAATTTCTGGCTGTGGGTGTCTTGCTATCTAAGTCAGTTTTTAACTGTAGCTATCTATATGCTGGAAAGAGCTCATTCATAATTAATTTATTCCACATAAGAAAGTAGAGAAGGGACTCAAGGAAAGGTCTGGAAATTTTTTAAAAAATGGGACTAGAGAGGTTTGGAGAAGAGTCAGAAGAGGAAACCCGTGGCTGTGTGGCTGTGAGAAACTTGGGAAGATACATTGAGGACAGAGGTTTGCAGTGAGATGATGTTTCTTGTGAGATAAAAATCCCTCTTTCTCAGTAAAATAAATGGCTTTTGGGCAAGTGACTTCTTTGGACAAGTGACTTATTTTGGCATGAATGAGAAGAATCATTGGTCCTTGATCCATATATGAAGCTAATATCTGGGTTAGATGGTTAATGTGAACACAAATAAAACAATTTATTTCATTTTGGTCTTTCATACTAGATTAGAGCCTCCCCAGAGCCTGGACTGTATCTATCCCCTTTTTCTGGCATACAGAATGCAACTGATAAATATTTGTGATCCAACTGACTGTCTGAGTGGCTCATAATTCCTGCTGATGAGATCTGAAGACATAGAAGCATCACCCTCCCTTGTAGGTTTTCATGTGTTCATCTTTACTAGGTTCCAAAATCTCACTTTCTAGAGAATCACATAAGATATTCAGGATCTATATTTTTCAAAGCAAATTCCAGAAATTGCAGTAGAACAGTACCTAACAGTCCCAGTCACCCACACACTATGGTTGAAGAACCATTCAAGAAACATTGTAGAAATACCTCCAGTGTGAGGTTACTTATTCTATAAGAGAGATAACTTCTACAAGTACCCAACTCATGAAAGAAAACAAACAGCTGGAGACTGTAACAAGTAGAAATACAGATGCCAACATTCCCCTCATACCAGAATGGAGAAAGATTTCCATTTGAGACCTAGTGAGATGAGATTTTATTATGGGAAAAAGCATACAAACCACTTTGCATTTATTAAATGCCTCCTTTCTTCTCTTTTTCCCTATAGAAATCTTGATTCCTAGATGAGAAAAAAATGCAAAGGTCCCTCTATCTCAACTTCTACAACTTCAGATAGAACACATATTTTACATCTTCTCAGAAACTCAAAAAGAATACGTTGAAAACGAATGGCTAGAATCACCATTCTATGATGACTCATGTACCCAATGGCATGTTGATGGTGACTACTCCTTGAAGCCAAAGCTGATAAATGACTTCCATTGAGCAGTTACTGGAAGATGCAAGACTTTCCGTGATTCTGTCATTCTGTTGGTGATTTGAGAGTTGTGACAACCACTGCTCATCAGAGGTTGGATGAACTGTTCTGTAGTGGTTAAGGTGAGAGGCAAATTGCTTTCTGTTTTTGTTTATTTCCTGTTTATGTTATTAAACAAAATTGAATCACATTGGATAAGACATTTCATTATTCTAAGCCTAGTTTCCTTACCCCTGAAATGAAGATAATAATACAGTATCACTGTTTTAAGGGAGATGTGAAGAATAAATATAATAATGGATATAAAGTACTGAACACATGTCTATAACATATCAAATGCTCTAAATGTTAAGTTTTTGTTTCTAAATTTGAATTTTCTTCCTTGTGCTCAAATGTAATCTTTTAAACTTGTTTTGTTGAATTTTATGACTACATTTACCTAACTCCATTCCCTATCATTGCATCTTCGCCATTGTTTAGAATCACTTCTGAACCTCTTAAAAATCACATTTAAGTGATTAATATGGGACGGCAACCACATTCACAATGAATGTTCACATCAATAGCTCTGGGTTTCTTGAGAGCAGGGACTAATGTTTTCTTCCTCACTGCTGCATCCTCACCACTTATAACAGTGAGTGCCTGACACATAACTGGTGTTCAATAAATATTCGTTGAATTAATGTAACAAGTTGGAAATAATTTAATAAGAATATACTATTCCACAGAGATGTCTAGTAGGGCAGACACACATATAAACCAGTCACACTTGGTAGTGTGATGAGAATTTTATTCCCTGGGAACCATGGGAGCAATGTGGATGCCATATATGGCTTCATCACTGACTTGTTATCAGACTCATTTCCAGCCAATTCAACTAGATTACCTTATTTTTAAGAGCTTCTTTTATGACTAGACTTGTGGCATATATCTCTCCATTCTGTTTCCTAGGATAAGGAGATAAAGTAGCAAGTGTTTGCCTCTGATAAAATGAAAAAGAATTGAAACATTCTACTATTAATCTTAAAAGAAATATACAGCCTGGCATGACTTATACATAAGCAAAGGAAATCTTATTTTATCTATTTTTTCTTCAATACTAATTTTGCTTCCCCTTGGGCTCTAATCAGATTAGAAATTTGGCAATTGACTTAGGAAATAAATTCCAATGGAATATAAAATTTGTAAAAATATAATGGCTTAACCAGGTTCTCAGTTCATACGTTATAGGCAAAGGCCTGTCCTTTCAATGTTAACCTTAAAGAAAGTACCCATTAAATCTGAAAAGTTTTTACTTTCTTTTTCACTGAATATGTGCCTAAGTTCTTTCCTCTTTATCCTCCTCTTATAGGTACTAAAAACCTGTGAAAGGGAGAATTGTGACAAATAACGGCTAGAAGACCACCAGTAATGACTAAAAAATTGGAAAAGATTGTCATAACCATTTTATTCTCCATAGGTAACTGTTCCTTTTACTTGTGATATATGCAGATAGGCCATTTTTAATTCCAGAGGCACAAAACACCCTGAATATTTAGCAAAATGTTTCTGAAATTTGTATCACCTTCTCCCTCAGTGCACTTATCAAAAAAGTATACATGCCCTTTGTACTATTATTTACCCAAGAGTTTCCTTGAATCAAATTTTAAGTTTTCTGTGTATCTTAGATTTACCTTAAATAAGAGAATCTGGAAAATCAATTGCATGTGCTTTTTCCTAATGTATATTAAAATAAATACAGAATATTAAAATGAATGTCCACAAACCACCCACCAAATATCTCATGTCATCAGTGGAATGTCTGACACACTTTGGAAAACACTACTTACTACTCTCAACAGTAGGGTACTCTCTCTTTGCACAACGAATGAAGTAATACCTCCTGTCAGCATTTCTGTAGAATAAGACTCTTTTAGCTACTGCAGTCTCTCAGGATCAGTTTGCATCATGCCCAGAGTGCTTGGGGTCTGTTCCCATTTTGCAGTCAAATCAGAGATACAAAAAAAGTTTTTGAAACAGAGGCATCTGCGTTTATACTGCCAGACAGCACATGAAAGACCTCCCTACATCTCAACCTGGAAATCATGGCAAAGGGTTGGCAGCAGCCCTACATGTGATGCTCTCCACTAACAAAAATGTCCAACTGGAGGCCTGAAATTGAGACTAATGATTGACCAGGAATTTCAACAGCTCTTCTCGTGATTCTGTCAAGGGAAAAAATAGTGAGGTTATTTAGTGTCTGAAGAGTGAATCTTCCTTTTTTGTCTTGTTTTTGGATGAGTGTTGGGGAAATAGTAAACAAATTTCTCCTTAAGAGTTGCATTCCCCTTGAAGAATTTACATTCCTTCCTGACATCCCTCAAGGAGCCATAAAAACACATCAGTTTAAAAGAGGGAAAGGAGAGTTAATATTTAAAGGAGAAGTTAAGAATCAATTACCCTCAGTTTAATAATAGCTAACATTTGAGTACCTATGATATGTCCAGGACTGTGCTAATCATTATAACTGTATTATCTGTTTTGCTAACAATCACAAAAACTCAATATGTAGGAACTTTTCTTACCATCATTTTATAGAGGAAATAACAAACATAGAAACTTCAATCAGGGCTCAATCCTAGAATGTTCTGATTCCCAAGGTAAGGCTGTTAACCGTTATATATATGCAAACCTTCTGTAAGTCCTTTGAGAGTATCTGCTCATTTGGATTCCCAGAATTAATTATCTTCCTGATTTTTACCACACATTTCCCTATTTGCTTTACCAAAAGAAGAAGCACAGAACTTTATAACCAATCACACCACAGGAAAATTGTAATAGTTGAAAATGAAAGCTATTGATAAAAGTTAACAATTATATTTACTGTGAGTCAATCACTTTACATACATTATCAAATTTAACCCTCAAAACAAGCATATCACAGATATCACAGATAGGCTTATTTTCATAGATGAAGAAACTAAAGCTTTAGAAAATAAGAAACTTGGCCCAGGTTACACAGAAGAAGTGGCATTTTAACCAGGCCATCTGATTTTAGGGCCCAATCATCTTAACACTAAAAAAAAAATAAAAATAAAAACAACTATCTAAAATAAGTGAGAAAAAAAACATTCACAAGATATTTATATGGAAGATATTAGCCAGTTGTATTTTTATCTTCACTGAGTAAAAAAGATAAGATTAATTCGTTGTCCTCAAAGTTGGATTCTGGGCTGGCAGCAACAGCTTCACCAGGGATCTTGTTCACAATGCAAAAATCCCAGGTCCCACTCAGAACTACTGAATCAGAAACTGGAGTATGGGACACAGCTTCTTTTATTTAACAAGCCTTAAAGGTAATGCTGGTGCTCATCCACCGGTTTAATTATTTAATTCTTTACCTTAGCAGACCTTAGGATCACTTGAAAACTTTACACAAATAAGATGCTTGGGCTTGTTCCTAGAAATTCTTTTACTTGACCTGGGGTGCAGCATAGACAAGGATCATCAGGTGGGGCCACCTGGGTGCCTTAGTCCTTTAAGCATCCAACTTCAGCTCAGGTCATGATCTCACAGTTTGTGAGTTAGAACCCACGTCAGGCTCTGCACTGAAAGCTCAGAGCCTGGAACCCTTGCTCTCTGCCCCTCCCCAACTTGCGCTCTGTCTCAAAAATAACATTAAAAAAATTAAAAAGAAAATTTTAAATGTAACACGTGGTTCAGGTGTACATAGCTATGGTGAGAACCAATGGCTTGACAGAAACAGCAAACCAAGAAAAAATGTGGAGAGAGCTGGATTGTTTCTAGACAAAGAAATAAATAGTAAACTTACTTAGATATGCCTAAAAATAATTCTGGAGAGTTCTTTAATTCTAGGATTATAAAGCGATGACTTTGGTGCCTATAAAGTGTTATATATCTAATTTCTGGAACATTTAAGATGACCACAGATTAAATAAACCAAAACCAAGATATTAAGTACCTCCATGGTTCATATTGTTTTGCTGTCCTTGAAGTAATTTATCTTCTAAATTTCTATTTTTAAAATCTTTAAGGAATAATATATTTATGTTTTGTTCACTCTTGATCACAATGTTGACCCTCCTCTAATAATTTACAGTTGCTGCGATGATGACATTTTGTCTCTGTTCCCACAAAGAATTCTTATTTGTCCCTCCCAAAATAAGCAGTCATTGCCTATATTCTTATCTTTAACTGCTCCAATATTGGATTTTTCATCTGGGATGAATGAATATCTGGGAAATCAGTGGTGAGAAGAAATTCTTCCTAAATAAATCACAGAGGGTTTAGAACTACTGATTGTACTCATGCCGGTCAGAGTGGCTAAAATGAACAAATCAGGAAACCGTAGATGCTGTCGAGGGTGTGGAGAAAAGGGCACCTTCCTACACTGTTGGTGGGAATGTAAACTGGTGCAACACCTCTGGAAAACAGTACGGAGGCTCCTCAAAAAATTAACAGTAGAACTCCCCTATGACTCAGCAGTAGCACTGCTAGGAATTTACCCAAGGGATACAGAAGTGCTGATGCATANCCTGGAGCCTGTTTCAGTCTGTGACTCCCTCTCTCTCTGACCCTCCCCTGCTCACACTGTCTCTCTCTCTGTCTTCTAGAAATAAATAAACATTTTAAAAAAAATAAAAATAAAAAAATAAAAAATAAATAAATTCTAAATATAAATTTATATTAATATAAATTTCACAAAAAGGAATGTAGTATTGATAAATGCAACACATGGGTGAATCTCCAAAACATTATGCTACATAAAAAACGTCAGGACAAAACCTCACATATTGTGATTCCATTTATGTGAAATACCCAAAATAAGTAAATCCAGAGTAGAGCAACTAAGGAGTTTACTGGTTTTCAAGGGCCTGCAGGTAAGGACAGGTAGGGAGTGACTGCTTAATGAGCATGGGGTGTCCTTTCAGTTTGATGAAATGTTTTTGATCTATAGTGGTGATGGTGGCACGATACTGTGAATGTACTAAATGTCAGAGAGTTGTATGCTATATAATGGTTACTTTTAATGCTATGTGATTTTACTTCAGTAAAAAAAAAAAATTAATGTTTATTTATTTTGAGAGAAACACAGAGTGTGAGTGTAGGAAGGGCAGAGTGAGAGAGAAACAGAATCCAAAGCAGGCTGCAGACTCCAAGTGTCAGCACAGAGCCCTACGTGGGGCTCA